ATGAGATTGCAGTGAAAACATCACGTTTGAAACTGCTGGGGTGCTAGGTTACTGTGCAGTGGAGATCCTTCCACAGAAGGAAGGAGGACTGTAACAGACATGCTAGCTGGATGGCAGGATAGCAGGTAAAGAATAGGATGATTTTTTTATCATAAAGATTAATGGTGGCCATTTGATTTTTAAAAATTGGTTTATTCCTCCTTGCCTCAAATATTAAATTCCGTGGGGTTATAATTCTGGGAGGTCTATACTCACCCTTATGATTTGTAGTTGCATGTTTAGTGATTGTTATTACCCTCACTGCGTGTAAGGGAACACATGGTGAAAAAGGAATGCGGATACTGAGTGAATCAGACATTCCAAAACATGTTAACATCCTGAAGGCATACCTATGTATTTCACAATATAACCCAACTTTCCTCTTTATTTATTTATTTATTTTCCAGTAAGGATCTAAGAGTTTTTAGAATCTCTTTATATAGCTTTCAGGATGGCAATATGGCTTTTGCAATTGGCTTCTGTGATAATCCATCAGTGAAAAAAGTCATTAGAGGTGTTGGCCAAAAGATGTCCTTACCCTCTGTTTTGCAGGCTTGTGTTCTTTTGGACCAAGTGTTCCACAGGTGACATTCTTGCTGCTGATTGGGTTTTTGAGGGTAGTTCGTAAGAGCACCTAAAAAAACAAATGTGAATTGCTTATAAGCCTATTTTGTGGTGCATTGATGTTGTTAATTCACCCAACAGCCCGATTCCGAAGTGGCTGATGCTGGCATGAAACTTCAAGCGTACTTTGAAGACCTTCTAAGGAACCTTTATCCTGAGAGAAAGTTCCCCGTACAACCCAACTGCCAGAGTGACAAAGATAATCCAGAATTTACTGGTGACTCAGATGATGACGTTGTACAGCCCCGGAAAAAACGCCTCAAAGGAGAAGACCGTCAGTCACTCAAATGAGCTGCATGTGTTGCTATGGGCTTCTTAAAAAAACTAAGGGTATTTATCACTATTAATTGTGAACAGGGGAAAAGTCATAACTGCTTTGACTTGTAGGTCTGTGGGTATTCACTAGGCTTTCTACCCCTTGTCTGGAACACAGATTTAATGGTGATCAAGGCACGTGGAGAGTTCTGAAGTTCCAAGCTTTCCTCATACTTCTGGAACAGCACAGAAATTGCCATTTGGGTGGCATGACAGCTGTTTACTTTGACGAAGAAAAGAATTTTGTATAGAACTGAACTTCAGAACATTACATGGGTTCAACATGTGGCTTTCTGAGTTTGAAGAAAATGTGATCTCACCAGACTTTTAATTTTACCAAAGGCATGTGGCTGGCCATAATTTGATTTCTTTGTACTGTATTTAACACAAGCCATGAGAACAGATGGTGTAATATTGTCCTGCAATATTGACTCGTACAATGAAAGTGTAGTTACCCCCAAAGAAGTTATTGGTAATTTTAAAATGTAAGGGAGAGTGTATTAAAAATAACTTCAAAAAAAAAAAAGAAAAAGGAAAAAAAAGGAATTTGTTTGGGAGTTTTTAATGGAGGAGGTAAAGGACAATACTTCGATTTGCGCCATTTTTCTTACCACCAGCAAGAAACAGTAGTATTTCTGTACTATTTTTGTTAAATGGTGTCTCAAGTTTTGATGTATTTCTGTTTAATGGAGTTGACAACAAAGTTTTGAAGGGAAAAATGTTTGCTTGCAACTATCAGCAAGTCTTTGTGTGCATTTAGAATGGGGGGCAAGGGCATCCTTTCTGTCCACAAGTTCTTGTTTTTCCAAATTTTAGAATGCAACCAGCACCATTATTCACTTGGAAGTACAAAGTTTGAAGAGGTAGACAAAAAAAGGAAGATACTGTTCTCTGACCCTTCATCTGTCCCTGCTAAAATTACCGTTAGGTGAGGACAAATGGCCTTTTTCAGTTCTGTCTACTTCCCAGAAGCACTGACAACAATGCAGATGGTTGTTTCTGCCCTCAGAGATTGCAGAGTTAAAGAAGTACTTTGTCTCTTGTTGCTCTAGCTAGTGGTTTATATTCTTAATTTGTTATCTTAAATGAAAACTGCGTTGTGAGTGCAGGCAGTCCTTTGGATTAACTGAGCTCTGGTGTGCTAGAATTTTGCAGGTGGACCCGTGAAGATACCCGAGTGTACACAAGCCTGCTTCTGATTTGCTATGTAGCACTGATGTGGTGCTGTGCACAGATCATTGAGGAGACTAGATAAAAGTGCTGCTTGTGCCTCCCTGCTGTGTACATATACGCTCAGAAAAAGGCCCTTTTTTTCCCCTCTCATCAGATGAGATATTGTCCACCTGCCTTTGTCGTAGGGTGGCACTGCGTGCTTAAATGTAGTGGACTCCAAGAAAAGAACACTTGGTTGTGTTTGCAGCAGCCTTTGTAGCTTTTGAAATTGGTTGATTTTTAAGCTGCTCAGAGGAACCATTCATTTTCTTTTCCCTTCTTGTTTCGTTGTTGTTGGTTTGTTCCTTTTGTTTGGTTGTGGTTTTCTGTAGAAAGTTTTTATTACTTGGAGAAAGTTGCTTGCTAGCAGGAGTTTTACCATCACAACCAAAGAAAGAATAGAGATGAAGGAGCAGAACAGGAAGGTGACCATTCTAACAGAACAGATGTGATCAGTGCACACTGCAGTAGCACAGACTTAAGAAACAGGAGGCACTGCCACTGCAGCATTTGATATCTTAAAGATCTGACAATGCCTGGAAATCCTGTTTACCTTGTCATCAAGTTTAACAGTGCTTCCAGAGGAAGGTGCTGCATGTTTCTCTGGACGATAAGTTGCAAGCACAGATTTATTAGGTGGCTTGTTGCGTTTAGAGGTGAAGTTAGATACCTTTACAGCTTCACACTCAAGTTCTTCTCCCAGTGCAAGATACGGGGGAGAAGAGCATATATGTAGTCCTGCAGTACAGCTGCTTATCTGTCTTCTGTAAACTGAAACTGTCTTGTTTAATCCACTGGAAAAATCTGACTCAACCTTCATTTTGTGCTCTTGAATGTCACCCTGAGAATCGTCAGAAATTGTCTCTGCAGTGAGGTTTTTGAGATGTTAAATTTAGCTGCTTTAACACAGGTGGTATAGGCACAAATACTTGAGGAAGGCAATTTTATTTTTAAAGTACTACATTCTTTCAAGCTGCTATGGCAAAGACTCTATCTACTTTAATGTATTTTCCCCCCTTTGCCTCAGTCCACTGAATGGTGGTTGTTTTCCTTTTTTGGGGGGGTGGTTTGGTTGGTTGGTTTGGGGTTGGGGTTTTTTTTTTTGCTTGAGGGGGGTGTGTGTGTGTAATGTCACTACTAATAGTACTTGGTAGTAAAAAGTCTTCATTTCACTTCACAGGACAGGTAGAAAGCATCTGTTTATTGAATCGTAAGAAAGGGTTTGTCCTTGAGAAATTTGCCATTTGTCTATACAATTCATAGCTCTTGCACTGTTCAGTTGCCATTTTTAATAATGGAAATGGTATGGAGAAATAATCAACATCAAATGCAGTTGCCAGGAAATGACAGATTCCAAAGGTTTATTTTTCTTTCCAACCTAATCCAACATCAAATACTCGCTTTCATTTTACTTGCTAAAAAGGGGAAAGAAAAGAAAAAACATAAAATTAATAAAATGCACATGAAAACCAACAGAAATATGAATACAGGGGAAAACAATGTGCGTTTGGATCTGCCCAAATGCTGTTGCCCCTTGGGTGCTTTGAGAGAGGACTGATGAGTAAATACGCTTTTTAAATGTCATTTTCTAGATTTCACAAAAAGTTACTTACATAATTTTTGTTCTGTTGCTTAAACTAGCTCTAAATGAAGGAACACATCTGTTGTCTGAAGCCTTAGGTCTAAATATTCATAGAATCATAGAATAGTTAGGGTTGGAAAGGACCTTAAGATCATCTAGTTCCAACCCCCCTGCCATGGGCAGGGACACCTCACACTAAACCATGTCACCCAAGGCCTCATCCAACCTGGTCTTGAACACTGCCAGGGATGGAGCATTCACAGCCTCTCTGGGCAACCCGTTCCAGTGCCTCACCACCCTAACAGGAAGGAATTTCCTTCTTATATCCAATCTAAACTTCCCCTGTTTAAGTTTCAACCCATTACCCCTTGTCCTATCACTACAGTCTCTAATGAAGAGTCCCTCTCCAGCATCCCTATAGGCCCCCTTCAGATATTAACATAGAATGGTTTGGTTTGGAAAGGACCTTAAGATCATCTAGTTCCAAGGGACACCTTCCAATAGACCAGGTTGCTCCAAGCCCTGTCCAACCTGGCCTTGAACATTACCAGGGATGAGGCAGCCACAGCTTCTCTGGGCAACCTGTGGCAGTGCTTCACCACCCTCACAGGGAAGAACTTCTTCCATGTTAACAGAGCTTTTACATTATGTGTTTGAATTCTTGTATGGGTGGGATGACTATTCTGTGAGGCCCTTGGACAATATGTTCAGTAGTCATGATTCAGCAATCCCTGAAGGACTATGTACACAGAACGTAATCTCTGAAATGACCATGAGATGAGAGCTAGCAAGTTCAATTTTAGATCTAATGGCAACTTCCCAGAGTACACAACTAATTCTGCAGGTTTTTATTATTCCATCCTTTCAACTTGTGCATGTAAAGGCCAGCAGCTGGAGCTTATAACTCTTATTTGTAGCAAGGAGAATAATAATGCTATTGAGCTAAGTCTGCAGGAAAAGGGGGGATCCTGTTAAGGAATCATTACACTCCCATTTATCTTGACCACTCTTAGCCAAAGTTAATTCAACTGTAGTGGAATCAAAGCTTTCCTTTAATGTCTAAAGAAGTTTTAATGAAGTGTTTTGCTTAGTAATTATTGTAAATCCAACCATTTGAAAGCCTAAGTGGCTCTCTGGCCGCTGTGCATGGGGTTGAATTTCACCCACGAGGGAAGATTAAGTTGCTTTGTCCACTTCCTTACTTAACCTTTGATTTTTATTCCCCCCTCCCCCATATCTTTTACAGAGTATCATATAGATATTTTAAATGGCATAAAAACATAGAAGTCAAGCATTTCTAAAAATTAACCATTTAAAGAAGCAGGCAATGATTAATATGTTGTTTTTCTGAAAACCCTAAGGTCCCAGTGAGAAAATCTTAGATAAGACCCAGTGAAGTATGCGCATATATGTAATACCTGTGTGTTTGTATGTTGTGTGTCTGGCTTTTCAAAAGTGTAGTGCTAAAGCCGACATAAAACAGTTTGTTTGAACATCTGTTTTGCTGTAAGCCACTGAAGAACGTGGATTACTTAACCCATGGTCTTCTGGTTTGTACAGGTAAGACTGCAGAATAACAGGCAGTGTGGTGGGGGCATGCCACATTCATGATGCGAAAATGTCCACGCTCGTGTAGCTGAATTGACTAGAATCACACAAGCACTCACCACCTCCTGTAATTAAACTAATGAAACCTGTTCAAGGGGGGCTGTCTGAATTTAAACTTCCCCCATAGTCTTTGTGTTTAGTGTTTTGAGAGTGTTTTATAGGAAACACTAGCAACAAGGGCTTGGCTAACATACTGATACAGTTGGGTGTTTTGACTTGAATTTGCGAAGAAATGGCTTTAGTAGTTGAAGGTGTTACATGTCTGCTGTCCTTTCTTCCTGCAGTACCAGCAGCCTAGAACTGTGGCCTGTGTGCCTGTGAAGCAGCAAGTTCAAGTCAGGGCTGGAAAGGTACTAGCAAAGAGAGGCTTGCACTAGCTGAAGCTAACACGCTTGCATGAGGTAGCTGGGACTAGGGGCGGCGTGCTGGTTTGTTCTTTTATGAGAAAGGAGCTTTAGGCAAATGGGGTGACAGTGCTTTAAGCTGCTGCCACAGCAGGGTCTGTGCTTGCCAGTGAGGCCTTTCTTTGGTTTATTAATCCTCAGGAGAGTTTGGTTTGGATTCCAGCTGAATCATAATCTACTAGTTTCTAAAGAGCATTTAGAATAGCATTTAGCAGGAGCTCCTGGAGTGGTAATACAAACCTGCAGTGCCCTGCCTTTGGTCTCGATGGGCAGTGTGAACGCAGAGATTGCACAGACAACGCACACAGATGAGAAAAGACACAGGGCCCCGAGGAAAGAAGCATTTATGAGAACCTGCAGGCAAAAACCAGTTCAAACATCAGTTCAGTGGTATGGGGGGCTAGTGGTTAGGAATTAAAAGGGTGGGCAAAGGTTTGGAAGCACCTGAAAGATGTGACGATAGGGAAAACAGTGTCTTGTGAATCCTTAAGTGCTTTCAGAAAGTAATAAATACTAGCAAGCTCTGGGATGAGATTTATGCAGAGCTACATCTGGCAAAGGCTTTGTAAGTACCCTGTATGCAGAGTTGGGAGCAGAGAACTGATTGCATCCACCTTTTCTCTGTGTGTGTATGTGTGTGTGTGTGTGTGAACTTCAGGGACATCTCTTTGTATATTTGATAGCAGTGGTTGGCAGTATGTTTACCAACATTACCAAGCGTGCTCTTACTTGCGATATAAATGGGGCCACCATAGCTCCAACACGGCACAGTGACCCACTTGTTCCCATCCCCAGGGCCCGCATTGTCGTGGGATAAACCTAAAACAGGCCAGAAGGAAATCAGATTTTAGTGCAACAATGATCTGTGATAATGTGTCCTTATTTTTACTTTTTAATTTCTCTTCATCTTAATAAGGGCAGCTAGTGGAATAAGATATGAAAAGAAATGAAGGCTCCTTTTGGTCTCATTTGTGCCATTAAAAATCTGCCATTTTGTGCCCTAGGGAAAGCTGTAAGGCAAGTAAATCAAAGCTGAATGCAGTTCCTCTGCTTTTTGCTTGCCACTCTTCCCCCCTTTTTCCCAGCTGTGCTGGACAGCCTACACCGAAGTTACAGAGATTAGGCTGGGTGCTAAAGGAAGAACTCAATTTATATTGTCAGGCTCTGTATCTGGAAAGCAGAAAGGATACTGTCTGCAGTCTTTGAGACTGTATCAACAGCACTTTTGTTTAGAAGGAGGAAAAATTAAAACAGATGCCAGTAAGAAACTTCCAGGCTTAGAAGAATGTGCTTTGTGTATTTTCTTTTTCATATCTTCCAAACACCTGTGCCAGTAAAACACTAAAGCATGTATTTTGTTTTACTTTAAGTCCTGCTAAAGTCCTGCTACTATCAATAGATTTTAGCAAGTATACTCATGCAAGCCTTTGTAAAATTACTTTACTAGGCCAAGCCAATGGAAGTACGTTAAGAGTCCAGGCATGTGGCCAGAAATGGGAGTTCTGAGTATGGTTTTGATCACTGATTGAATTGTGAGTAGTATTAGCTTATGATATGGCCATGGCAGCAATGGTCTTTACATCAACAGCATGCAATTCAGGACTATCAAAATGTTGGTATTTATTTGAGCCCAGTGGAAGCTTAAACAACACAGTGTAATATTAAAAAGTATCTGGTCAACACAGGGAGCTACTCCTGCTTGCTTTTTATCATTTGAGTCAAAATCTGCATGGCAAACCATTTAACTCCACTCAACTGTGTAAAGAACAACAATCCTGAGTGCATACTTCACCCACAGAACTAATGGCTCTGAGGTGGTGCAAAGGACAAGCTCGCAGAAGGACTGAAACTTTGCAGATGGAACACAGCAATTTGCCCTAAGTGAACAAAAATTGTATATATAACCTCATACTGCTTCTTAGGTACTGGAAAAGGTTATTTTTAAGTGGTAGCTTATTTTCTAACTTTGCAGGGGAAACATTGTGGGGTTTGGAAGGTGGTGGTACGCAACATCTTCAAAAATAACATTTTCTAGTAGCTGACCGGCAGATGCCTCAGTAGGGCATTCCTCTTCCCCCTCCTCTTATCATCTTCAACTAGTTTTCTGATTCCTCCTCTGATCTTGCATATGAAATCAGTCAGAGATACTTAGTACAAGGAAGGTGACCCTAACTAGTCAATAAATCTGGCAACATTCCTGGGTATAGGAAAATGGTCTTTCATACAACAGAGCAGATTACCGTAGTTTCAGGAGCACCCACCTCTGCTGTGTAAATGTAGATGGTGTTGAAGTTGGCTGAAACCAAGGCACGTAGCATGAAGAGAAACCCAGTCATGCCTGCACTGGAGAGAAAGCTATCTGGAGCAAAGAGTTAGGCACTGAATCGGGATCAGCAGAGATGCAACCTAGCATATGCACTGTGCTAAGGCTTTTACAGCTTAATACGAGGAAAAGCATAAGGAAAAGTTGATTGCTGACAAGAATAAACTTTCTTTTGTCCATGGGCATGGCATGTTTGAAAATGGGCTACTGCTCCTTTGTTTTCCTCTAGGCAAGTGTTAGACCCTGGAGGGAATCATCTGAAGAGGACCATAGTATCTCAGCTGGTGCCTTCAGCATTACATAGAATCACAGACGGGTTTGGGTTGGAAGGGACCTTGAAGCTCTTCCAGTTCCAACCCTCTGCAAAGGGCATACCTTCCACTAGACCAGATTGCTCAATGCCTCGTCCGTCCTGGCTGTTGCTGGATTTCCCCCAGTGAAGTGCCCGATTATAGAACTGAGGAAATAAATCTAGCATTGCCAAAAAAGGGAAAGGAAAAAGCGAATAACAAATATGACTGCTTTCTGGCAGATGTTATTCACATCATTTTTATGTGAATTTAGTAGAAAACAACTTATTGTATGCTTGGGGGAAGCCATGTGGGCTCAATAATACAAGTGACCCCCCTGCACACTCCTGCACCACAGCATGTTCTGCTGCAGCTTTCCCAGGAAGGGGAGGGATCCAGTCAGTGGGGTTTTTGCCGATGTACAGGAATTACTGGCCTGACCAACCGATGACCCAAGACTACCACAGGTACTTGCCCTCTGCCCAGGACTGCAAGCCCCCCAGAAAGACTCATGCTGATCCAGGCTACCTGGAGGTGCAGATATTAAGGAGAAGAAAGAATAGGGCCGTACATCCCATGGTGATACTCAGGCTTAGTCGTCTTCCGAGGAAATTGATGCCAAGAATGTTCAAAGGATTTACTGTAGATAAAAAGGAAAACTGAAAAATGTTAGACGACCTCACTGTGATGATTGTCTGTGTCTTGATAAACCTTGTACAGTGTGCTTCAAAATACCTCTCTGCATCCCCACTGCCTACCAAACGCTCTGTAAAATGCACAAACCCTGTAATTCTCTTCCTGTACCCCAACCCTGTCATTTGCTCCCATAGCTTCTCTTTGTCCTTGCCCTCAGAGGATGGAGCCTGTGCTTCTCCGACATTTCCCTCCTCTGAAGGCATCCACTGGGTGAGTACCACAGCCCTGGGTGGTTTTGCTCCCTCTGGCCACAGCCAAGCCAAAACCAGGCCCAGAGCGTGACCCCCATGAACTGGGAGCCAGGCAGGCACCTGAGTGCATCACTGGGCTGATCCTAGCCTGGCTGTACCTGCAGCATCCAAAACCCGCTCACTTTGTAGCTCAGCTGCTGAGACATGAACCAGGGAAAACATGGATGTCCCAGGCATGTTGCAATACTAGACACACGCACAGTGCCAGGTTCTTTCAAGGGTGCCTTTGGGATGTCCTGCCATCCCCCAGCACTCCCAGGAAGGCTGCACCAGGAAGCATTTTGGTTTGCTGGGAGTTTAGCTTTCCTTTACTGTAGTGCTCAGCGTAGGACCTGCTCCTGAGGCCACCATCTCTTGGAAGGCAGGACACTCGTGTGATGCATTTATTTACATCAATCTGACTATTTGCAATCCTTGCTTATTTATGACTTTCCAAAAGCTACGTGTCTGGGAATTTGGGAAGCCGGGCTCAGTTCTTGTAAGTTGGGAGCAATTTCAACCAAGGCTGTCAGTACATACTAACTGCTAAGGAGGTCTTTGCTGTTGGAAGGACCTGTGCTATCACCAGGAGCTGAGCTGCTTGCCTAGGGAGCAATACCCTCTCTTACCCCTTGCCACCAGCTCATGGCCTGTGTCCCAGACCTTTGTTTGAAGTGCCAGTTGCCAGCAATGCGGAGGACATTGCGACACCTGGCCCGTCAGTAAGTGCACACACAGCTACACGCTCTGCAGTGAGCGTTGGCTGCCTGTAAGAAGGAGCTGGCAGGGAGAGGAGAGGAGAGGAGAGGAGGTTACGTGCGATCTCTCCAACAGTGCTGATGATCATGGTTTGGTAGGCAGCAGGCTCGAACAGGCGGCAGTGGCAGGGGCTGCGGCTCTCCTCGGAGTCATCGCCGGAGTCCTGCATCGGTGGAGCTGCGGAGGCACAGACGAGGTCCCGCTCCAGTAACTCTGCGCTGGCCAAGATGACGCCATAGTAAGCAAAAGCTATGCCAAGCCTGGGTGGGGAAGGAACGCTGCGGTGAGCAGCAGCAACCATGGGGAAGGTAGGGGGAAATGCAGCAGGTTTTGGTGTCCTATTCTGGTGTGCCCAGCCAGGGTCAACCCACCACGCTCGCTTTGCTCGCCCATTAGTGCTGCACCTTGCTCTGCAGCAGGTGACTGGGGCAGAGCTTGCCCCTGCTGTCCCTTTCCTCATGCAGGGCTGTGAGTGGAGACCACCCCTCCCTGGGAATCCCAGGAGTCTCAACATCAGGCCCTGATGCTGCAGCTCACACGAAGCAATTGCCCAGGGTTTTGCTGTTCTTCTCTTTCCTGCCCAGGGATTTTGAAAGGAGCTTTCAGTAAGTGGCTGGAGAGGCTCACATTGCACCCTGGCTGGCTGTCAAGAGCACAGCACTGGTGATGGCAGCCTGGCTGTGTCATTATCAAGTAATTCCACACACGCCTAAGCACAAGCAGGCCAAGAAGTAATTTTCACTCTTCTTTAACCCCCCTGTCAGTTCCAGAAATGAGCAGCAGAATCTGGGCTAGGAGACGAGCTGCCTAGGGATGCTTAGGGAACACAGGGGGTGGGAATGCAAACCTGAGAACATGCTAGCAACCAGGAAAGAAAGGAGGATTAGCAAACAAAAAGAAGGAGTATTTCATAACATACAAGTGGAGGGTGAGAGAACATGAAAAATTCGAGGCCTGACTTAGCAACAGTTTGGGTCAATGAGTTCCCATGGACTCATTATTTATACATTTCCATTCCAGACAGCAAAGTCAATGAAATGTATACGACCCTTGCATACAGCTACGGGGAACACTGCATATGAAATGCATCCCTCTTCAATCTTAATATTCCCCAGCCAGTGTCACTGGTAACAGTTCATGTGTTTCTGCTGGAGCCCTGTAGGACTGATGTATTGGCCGGCCTCGAAGGCGGTGCGTTTGCCCTCCTCTTGGGAGGAACGTGTTCACACCAAGAAGGGAACCAGAGCCACAGGCACACTGTGGGTGCACGCTGCTGCCTTTCTCCTATGGCTCCCACCCCACCTCCCCTGAGCTGCCCTGTCCTGAGGAAGGGCTCACAGCACCCTGCACCATCCTGGATGTCCAGCCTTCTGCTTATGTTAGCAGTGACTGACACAGGGTGTCTGAGACCAGGAGCCATGCACACATACTCCTCCTCCAGCTGGCAAGGATCTACAGCTGCCTCCTAACGCAGAAGTGGTGCCTTGTAATGGCAGAGTCATGGGGAGGCTTCTGCTCCCTGCACACATTCAGCTGAGAGAATGAGCTGATAACCAAACAAAAAAAGGAAGAAAAAAGACTTTTTTTTACCATATGATCCATATCTGCAAAGTGGTTCTGCGGTATTTGGGGTGGATGAGGTCCTTGAATCTTCCTCTCCTTTCCTGCAAATCATTTGAGAGAAATATAATGATGTATTATGAATTACATACTATGAAATATTATATATTATAGGAAGTTTTAAAAAAGGCATATTTTATACAGGGTGAGTGTTCTGTGAGAGCAGCAGGCACCCCAGGGTCTCCCTGCCCTCGCCCCAAGCTGCTGGTGCACAGACAGACTGATAGATGGACTGACAGCACCCCGTCAGCCCTTCATAGAGGAAAGCCCCTCTTCCCAAAGGATGTCCACAGGAAGATGAGCTGCAAAGGACGGAGAGGAGGAGAAGAGAACACCCTGAGCACCCCTGGCATCCACAGAACTCCCCCAGCTCTCAGCAGCCTGGCCCCAGCATGACCATCGTGGTGCTAGAGGGTGCCCCAGTTGATGCTGGCAGCTCCTGTTGCCCCATGTGCTGAGGAAAGGGTCCCAGTGTCCCCTGCTCTGCACGTGGAGCAAGTCTGTGGCCACATACATCTTGCTGGGAGGCCTGAAATGCCAGTGAGCACTGCCTGCCCTGCTGCTCCCCAGGAGCTGGCAGCTGCCCCAGCATCCCACTGCCGAGGGGACAAGAGTTCCCAGGGGTGTTTTGGGTTGCCTTTATTTTCCTCATCATTGGTTGAGGCCGAGAGGGGGCACAGTGAACAAAATCCCTTCCCACAGCCAAGGCGGGTCCATTACATAAATTCAATTAAACTACAGGGAAGCTTTAATCCTAATTAATTCCAATACAATAGCACCATCTTGCATGAATTGCTAAGGACAATGCTTGGTGCCTGTGGGATTGAATAAGCAGCAAAGAGGTCCAGGAAAGGGACTTACTTAAAAAGAGCTGGATAACAATTTGAGGCCCTGGACAGTAGGTTTGTCCAATCTTCATCTCCTGGGGGTCAAAGGAGTCACGTGAATAAGTCTTCACTCCCCGAAGTCAGCATTGCTTAGACTGGGGGTAAGGGAGAGAGCCACCTTGTGGGGGGAAATTCTGGTTCCCAGCTCCTGTCCTGTTCTGCCTGCATCATCCACGCAAGCTTCTGGGCATTTTGTTCCAGCAGTAATCAACTCCTGAGTGCTCAGCTGCTTACAGGTGGAAACAGTGGTAGCTGTGAAATGGCCTCTCCTGCTCTGACCCTCTTCTGCTGGTGCGTGGCTCCACATTCAGGGACCTGGGTGCTGGGACCCAGTGGATAAGCCCAGCCAGGGGCTGGGAGAAGACTCTGAGAGACAAGGGTTGACCTCATGGCTGGGACCCTGAGAGGCTACAGTCCTGAGAGGGAACCCAAGGGGCAGGTCCCACGTCTCATGGCACAGGGGACAACCCTGGGGGATGGCTGGGCAGTGAGGGAGAACATACTTTGCCAAGAGCCCTCTGTGTAGCAAAGGAAGCAGATCTTTTCTCAGCACAATATTTTTCTGAGCGAACACAGAGAATGCAAAAAAACCCAGAAAACTCAATTCCAGTTTGAGGGCCAAGATTGCTGTCTCTTCAAAAGAAAAATGACATCTTCGTCATCACATTCAATAGCTGTTTGGAACCAAACCAGGCAAGGAGGGGAACAGAGGCAGAGTGAGATGTGCTTGGCCATCCTGCTCCCTTCCCGATGCTCAGATCCCAGAAGCCCTGGACAGAGGGCCCAAGCAGTGCAATGGCTTAGCTTACCTTGGCAGGCTCCCTCAGCTCCCCCTCGGGCATCGCCGCCCCATTCATCTTGGCTATCCTCTGCAGCGTGGCCAAAGCAGCCGCCACATTGCCCACGGATATGTTGTACCGCGCCGACTCTGGGATGAACTGAAAGCAGAGCAGCGTCAGAAAGCCTTTCCGCACCTCTCTGTCCACACAACCCTCCTCACAGCTTCCTGCCATGCCCAGGAGCCTGGCCAGGCACCACCTCGGCTGGAGCAGCCTTTTGCCTGTGCTCCTCCCCAGCCGTGCTCTGGCGCATCCCTGTGTGTCCCAGCTCCCCATACCTCATGGTGGGCAGCTCACCCTGCCCAACAAACCCATTTCTTGGTCCATTTCCTAGGGATCTGCTACTGAGCTGACTGTGGCAGGCACTTATAAGAGGTGGAAGCCAAAGACACATTTTTAACGAAGACAACCGTTATTGATTGTAATTCTAAAACACGATGAGGCACTTACCACTTACTTAAGCAAAAGTCTTAGAAGACAGAGCAAGGTCATTAAAAAAAAGGAAGACATGGATGAAACTTAGGAACAAACTCATCACAAGCATTTGCAGCATTCACCCACACCTGTGGTCTTTCCAAAATAAGATACCTTTTCATTAAATGATGTTTCCACTAAATTATAAACAATTACATCTGTATCACTGAAATGGGAGTTAAAGATTCCTTCTCTTCTAAAGGCATATATGCTGTGTCTTTTTTTTTATTCTTTCTAGACTAAAAACCTTTGGTACCCTCTTTTTTCCTTTTTCTTTCTAATGGCAAAATATCAGGAATACCAAACATCAAAGTTATATGAGTGGACATTCACAGTGACCTTGCATTTGACTGCCCAGGTAGCACCCTGGATGGACTTGTCTATTTGTTCAGCTGCAGGAGGAGCTTTCTCATCTGCACATCTTGCACCAGCAGCAGCTGCAGCACCCATGGGCACTGTAAGTAGGGATTTTCCACACCACTCCCCACAAATAAGACTGTCCCCATATCTGAGGCTGATATTTCTGAAGCTTGAGTAAACCTGGGGAAGCTGCAGTTGACCCAGACACCCATTTGCTGTGTGAACACTTTACTGAGGTTTCATTCACCAGCACTAACACATGTAAAGACTGAAGGGACCAGCACTACACTGAAGGTATTGTGATTTTGATACCCTTCCTAGCCTGTCTTCCTCTCGATGGTGCCCATCACCATGGTCCCTGGGTACCACTGGCACCATGGACACTGGAGCCTGGGGTGCTGGAGGGCTACAGGAGGGCAGCAAAGCCAAGATCAGCATCAGATCTGTAGCCTCCTCAGGCCATCAGGACCTTCCCAACTCTCCCCCCAGGCGAGAGGGCTGAAGTGGTGAAAGGAGGACAGAGTGAGGGTGGTAAAATACTGGAGTAGATTTCCCAGAGAGGTGGTGGATGTACCATCCCTGGAGACACTGAAGGCCAGGCTGGTTGTGCTTCTGAGCAACCTGATCTAGTTGAAGACATCCCTGTTCATTGCAGGGGGGGTTTGAACTGGATGACTTTTGAAGGCCTCCTCCACAAACTATTCTATGATTCTATGACATCCCCAGGTTTGTGGGGGTTCAGGGCAATGCCTCTTGGTGCCTGGGGAGATACCAGGTCAGTGGCAGGGAGCGGGCAGGGCAGCTTTACCTACCTTGAACACCAGGATGAGAAGGATGCCGGGGATGGAGGCGATTCTGATCAGCCATCGCCAGCCAATGGTTGGGTTCACCACCGATGCCAGGCCAATGATTAACATGGATCCTGCTAACCAAAACACCTTTCCAAGGGAAAAGAGGGAGTTAAAACATGCACACATGGCAATAATTTGTTTGTTTTCTTCCCTTCATGTCTGGTTCCCTGGATAAGTGGGGATCTGTGCTGGGGAGCACTGCAGTTCAAACTGAGCCATTCTACGCCATCCATGAGAAGCTCAGCTTGGGTTGAAGGAAAGAGGGAATGAAAGACAAGTATCTGGGGAGGGATGGCTGAAGATGGTCTTAATTAGCTACAAATGCAAACAGATCACTTGCTGTTATGTTGTATTTAAAGCCACTTCTTTTGTCCTTCCAGTCACTGCTCTGCTAATGCTCATGCCCATAAATTTTCCTCTTGTCTAAATCTCTGCAGGGATGCAGCAGATTTACTAGCACCAAAGGCAAAAGTGGGCCAGATTTCCACCACTGGAAGTTGGTGTGTCTCCAGGAGACTTAATGCCAAGTTATACGAATGGAGAATGTGGCCCCCTGATCTGCAAGTACATTCCTTCCCGAAGTTCACTTGTTGCCATTAGGAGACACATCCCTTTCCAGGGGACCACCCAAGGGAGTTCAGCCAACACAAAGCACAAACAAACACGCAGGAGCCACAACAAGTTCATGAGGGCAGAAATAAATTTCTGAGGAGAAATAACATTGTTCCTTTTTATAAAACCTTGTGTTTCTGGTGACACTTCGGTAATGAAGCCCTGGGATCAAACAGGCAGTAATGAAAAGCAAATTATCCCTTCCACCAAGACCATATACAAACACTTTTGGTTCAATAGTCAGATGGATTCATGTGCTCAATGAGGGCTCCACAGATCGTTTGCACATGCAGCAAGTGCCCGTTGCAGAAATCTGGCGTAAGCAGCCACCCAAGTCATGCTTGCTGTGGTCTTTGCCCAGCAAGAGGGCACAACCCTCCCAGCACGTCTGGGGCCAAATTTGGGAATCTGTGTTACCCCTATCCTGCACAACGTCCAATGTGCAGGGACAGGGAGAGGCACAGATTAGGACCTCATCTGTGCATGACCTTTTTAACTGCTTATTATCAATGGGGGTCCAAAGAGAGGAGGGGATGAGCTCAGGCCTGGAGGGGGCTGGCAGTCCTGCTAGCTCTAGTGCCTACCAGCCCATCAGCACTGGCCCTCTTAAAGCCATGGTGCCAGCCATCCCTCAAAGTTCCCATGCAGTGGTTGGAGCATCCAGTTACTTGATGTTAGTGCCTCTTTTCTGCAGGCAACTGTCTTTACTAACGCAGACGCCACACTCTGGGGCTCAGACCCAGACAAGTGTGAATAGTCTGGGAGAAAGGCTGATGTCCTGGAGATCCAGCTTCCAAACAGCAGTGGGACAAATCTCCTGGGGCTTGGGGCTAGAAAAACAGAAATGTGCTCACTCTTACCTGAGACAAGGGCAACATGTATCCTCTGTATTTGGTGGGCAGAAATTCTGTTTTTATGATAAGCCTAGAGAAAAAGGGGGGGAAATACAGAAATACAGCAACAATGAGAACTTCTATACTAATGAAGTACCAGCTCAGCTCAGTCAGTTGTGCTCACAGGAGAATGGATAATTGGTACATGAACTCTGAATAATCCTGAGAGGTACAGCAAGGCCATGAGAGGCCCAGGGAAGGTTAAGCAAGCAAGATAAGAAGAAGCTGGATTTCACCGAGTTAATGAGAACTGTGGACTGTTGGCAAGATTTCGAGGTCAAGTTCTCACACCTGTGTTTAACCAATTATATGTTAGTCACTAAGGGTCTTCAAGGCATGTATCCAATCATAATATGCCAAATCACTGTAAGTGCTTGTAAGAAACAGTATTTAAGGGGTTAAGGCTTTTTAATAAATGGCTTTTGTCTGATCATATTGATCTCTGACTGGGTCCATACATTTTCTGCGGCAAATGGTGCCCAATGTGGGGCACCCCCCTGTTTTTCATATTGAAACTGAAGGAATTAAAGCGTGTGGCACCAAAGAAAGTGGCAAATGCAGAGCTGCAGGGATGTCGGCTGGGTTTGATCCAGCAGGACCAGGATGGGGAGGTAGATGCCTCGGAACGGAGTCTTGTGAGCCCGGAAGACACTGTGCAGTGCAAATAAGGTAACAGCTGACTGGTCTGGAAGAGGATTAGGATGGGGAATCAATTAAGTAAAGAAGAAATGGCCATCCTTAAGCTCTTCCAGCATATCCTCTCAGCGAGAGAGATAGAGTATGATGATAATCTGTCAAAAAGACTGCTGCTCTGGAGTAAAGAAAAAGAGCTGATCAAGGGGGTTAACGAAACCTTTGAGCTTGGGTCTTGGGAAAAAATCGCGAAGGAAGAAGCCTCTGTTTTATGGATGTTTCCAGTCCTTCTTAAGGTGAAGGGAGTAACCTTTAAAGAGACAGACTTAAATTTAATGTTGAAATGGTCAAAGACGCGTTATCCAGAGAGTGATGAGTCTACCGTATTTGAGGTCTCTGTGGAATGGTGCAGGAGTTAAGCTGTGGGATGCACTTACAAAAGGCAATGACACTGTGAAAAATTTGTTAGTCACTTGGAGATCTATTTTAGAGACGTTAAAGTCAAAAAATGAGATCGTGGAGCCCAGTCGTCGTTCCCCTACCCCCCCCACCCCACCTGCCCCCACCAAACCTCTGGCGGTTGCTGCCGTGGCTGTGAAGACTGAGGACAGAGATGAAGACAATCTTTTCAACCCAGGCCCTACTGACCCCGAGAAGGAGCCTGTGCATGTCCATCAGACTGCTGCTGCTGCTCCTGAGGTTCTGAAGCCTGATAATCCTGATGCTGCCCTGGATGATCCTTTTGACCCAGAGCCTATTCATCCAGAAAAGGAGCCTGATTTATAACCCCCAGATCTTCATGTTAAATGCACAGCTGTAAAGGGAGAAGCGAGACCAGTGGGGATGCAGATGTATTGTGTGCTTTCCTGGTGGTGTATGTGCTGGATCAAGACCCGCGGTGGGAAGGTCTCTCGTATGCTCTTATCAGGGGTATCGGGTGGACTGTGGCAGACTGTGACTTGGGACCCCATATACAACTCATTTGATAGTCTCTCTGTGATACTCATGTACTAGAAGTTGGTAAATATTAAGTATGTCCAGGTTTGTATCCACCTTTGGAGACCTTTATAGATATTGCTGGCCACTTCTTCCAACATAGGCTGGCCACCTGTGTCGGAATGAGTGTGCATTTTGGTCAGTATAAAAGCCCAAGCCTCGTGCGATGTGGGGGAGGCAGAGCCCCTGCGGGGACACCCACTAAGGTTGAGCCTGCCACCTCGCACTGCAATGATGCTTCTCGGAGCTGGTTTGCTGTTAGTCTCCACAGGGTCCTTGTTCTGTATGTGGGACTGTAGTGGGAGTAATGATTGTCTGGATTTTGTGCTTCAAATACTGTAGTTGTGTGGAGTGTGCTTGTGGGATCCCATACGTGTGTGTGTGCTTGTGGTGAGGACAGATGGTGTTCTGTGTATTTTTTGTTGTCGGGTTCATGTAAAAGTTTGTAACGGGCAGCAGTTTAACATTTTGGGCAAGAAAGGGTTAATGTAAAAGTGCAGTTGCCGGCAGGTATTTATGGTTGCCGCTGAAGCAGGCAGGCATCTATAGCAGCTGCCGAGCAGGCTGGTGTTTGTAGCCGTGCAAAGCAGGGTGAGCAACTTTGGGGAAAAAAAAAAGGGTATTTGAAGAGAGTTTGGTCCCCATGTACAAAAGAAGTTGCCCTCCGATTCGGCTCCCAGCGCTCCACCAGCGGAACGGCCAGGATGGACGCCAGAGCTGAGGAGTGAAAGAAAAGAAAACCAAACCAACCAACCAACCAACCAAACCCACAAAAAGTCCTCTCAATCTATTGAGGTATTGAGGCAGTTTGTAGACACCACAGACAAAGCCTAAAGAGCACCTGCAACACAGTGGGTGCATAGTAGGAGCCTTGCTTAGTATGTTTAAGGTAACCTGGGGGTGAATCTGAGACTTGGAGGAACAGGTAGATGGGTTGAAACAAGAACTGCTGACTGAAAAAGCGAGAGGGGTAGTGCAAGCACAAGCTTTACGAGTCGTCACCCAAGCAGCATCAGGGTGGCAGGAAAAAAAAATAAAATAAATAAAAAAAAATGCCATGCCAGACCTTGATGTGGGGGATGGCCTCCCCTGTTATCAGAGAGCCATACAGGAGAAAAAAGGGCAGGCCCAGCAGCCTGTAGTTGGCATATGTTGGAGATATGATCTAGCCCAAATCCCCTGCTCACGTAGGGTCATCCAAAAGGTAAATAAAACAAAAAGGGGGAGATGTGGAGGCAGTGTTCTCATGGGAGAATGGATAATTGGTACATGAACTCTGAATAATCCCAAAAGATACAGCAAGGCCATGAGAGGCCCAGGGAAGCTTAAGCAAGCAAGATAAGAAGAAGCAGGAATTCACCGAGCTAATGAGAACTGTGGACTGTTGGCAAGCTTTCGAGGTCAAGTTCCCACACCTGTGCTTAACCAATTATATGTTAGTCACTAAGGGTCTTCAAGGCATGTATCCAACCATAATATGCCAAATCACTGCAAGTGCATGTAAGCAATAGTATATAAGGATTTAAGGCTTTGCAATAAACGACTTTTGTCTGATCATATTGATCTCTGACTGGGTCCATATATTTTCTGTGGCAGTCAGTGCTGGATGTTGCTGCCTGTAGACAGACTACCGTCCCTCTTCCACCACTGAGCAGCACCCCAAGATGATGGATCCCTGTTTAATATGCCTTCCACTCAGGCACCAAATTACATGCAGAGGAGATGCACACCAAGAATCCTTTCCCACAGCCATGGCTGTAGGATACAGGCAGGTTAACACTTCAGTCTGTGCATCAGAAAACCTATGGGAAGATCCTGTGGGGTGACCAAGGTGTCAGCACAGACACAGAGCATGTTTGTAGCCATGGACAATTTTTAGTGAATCATTATTTTTCATTACAGAAAACAGCCTGTTCCACTTTTTATCAAATGGTTGGGTAGCGCCTGGGGGAGGAGCTCTCACAGGCAGCTCTCAAGTTCACAGGTGGGAATTGTGCTTCCTTGGCTGGAAAGAGAGTGGTGGGGAGAGACCCATGTTGGCTCCTTCTATCTCAGCTGTTGAAGTGTTTTATAACATGTGCAATATCTGTGCAATTTCCCTCCATCCTCAATAGGCTCATGAGCAGCTGTTGTGGTTTACACCCAGCCAGACAGCTCGTTCACTCACTCACTCCCAGTAAGTGGTGCCAGGCTGGAAGCAGTCAAGGCCTGCGTCCCATCCCCCTCCCCCGTCCTGTCCCGTCACCACCCCCCCTTCCCCCCCAGGGGCTCTCCCCTTCCCCACTCCCGGAGGGATGGGGAGGAGGATCGAAAGAGTGCAACTCCCACGGGTTGAGACAAGAACAGTCCAGCAACCAATGTACAACACAAATCACCACCGCTACCACCAACTACAACAATGATAAGAGAAAATAACAAGGGAAGAGAATACGACACCACCGGCCAAGAAACGAGTCTGACCCAGAAGAACCCTTGTCCTTCCGGGTAACTCCCAGTTACCCCCCCAGGCATGACATGCTATGTTATGGAATACCCCTTTGGCTAGCCTGGGTCAGGTGTTCTGTCTCTGCTTCCTCCCTGCTTCCCCTCCTCCCTGGCAGAGCATGAGACTCACAAAGTCCTTGGTCAGGGTAAACATTACTTAGCAACAACTGAGAACATCGGTGTTATCAGCGCTGTTCCCAGGCTGAAAGTCAAAACACAATGCTGCACCAGCTGCCAAGAAGGAGAAAAATTAACTGCTACTGCTAAACCCAGGACAGCAGCCTTCACGGTCAGGGAATAGGGGCCCTCCTGTGAAGGAGGCAGTGCTGGTTACTCAGCAGACATGGGACCCAGGAGCAGGATGCCTTCCCCTCCCAGCAGCACCTATGCCCCTCTTGTCTTTCCCATGGCAAAGGGCTTTTGGGTCAACACAACTGGTTTGGGTTTTTTCTCTCTGGGCAGCAACCAGGCTTCGAGGAACCATGGAAGATGCTTTCCCTGAGAGAGCTCAAAAAAGCAATTTACTTTCTCAGGCTCCTAGTGCATTGGTTGCCAACACTGTGAATTTCTGCTCTCCCTCGCCATGTCCCCCTTCCCACCCCAACAGGGCAGAAAGTTTCATTTAAGTGGAAATGTTTTACATCAGTTCAAGAAGAATTTGCTACTTAAGCAGAATTGCTGTGACTTCTTTAGGAAGAAGCAGCCTTTGCTCATCTGTTACCTGTCTAATTGGTTTTATATGTGTTTAATAATCCTTTTGTCACTGGCTTAATGCAAACCAGCTGCCTCCTCTATTCCCGGGCTTGGGAGTCCTTGGGAACTGCAGTTTAGGTCGATCAACCAGGATTCAGTGAAATTACAGAACGGCATTTTGTTTTAAGGAGATGTGGGAATTTGCTTCTCTTTCTGATGTAGAAATTTGCTCCCTTTTCCACTTCCAGCCCCGATGGAGGCCCCTTCCCTGCTGTCTCCCCCAGGTCGCAGCACAGCCATGGCTTATCAGGCTCAGCTCAAGGGAAAGAGGGCGCCCTGCCAGGGTCAGCCAAAATGAGCTGAAGAGCCTTTCTTGCTGCAAACCCAGGAACTCAGCCCCTCCAGGCCCATGGGTGGCTTCATTAACCTCCCTATGGAGGCTGGCTTGGTGCTGCCTGTACTACGAGGCATGAGGCGTAACCTTACCCTTGCGCATGGCCCGATACACCACCTCCTACCATGGCCCGCAGGAACACAAACCAGATGTAGGATGGGGCAAAGGAGGTCAGCAGGGAGAAATAGGCTCCCCAGAGGAATGAGAGCAGCAGAATCTGCAAAAGGGGAAAAATGAGGGTCATCAGACTATGGGCTCGGCAGGATGCATGGCTCCTGTGGGGCTCAGGAGAAGACATGCACCCCATGGCATGCACTCACCTTCCAGCGGCCATACCTGTCGGCCAGCAGCCCGAGCACTATGCTGAACACCATGTAGCCAAAAAACACCATCTAAAGGGAATTGAAGCACAGCTGTGGAGGGCCCAGTCCCAGCAGCACCAGTCAGCTCTGCTCCTTGAACTGCAGGTGAGATGAATGCTCTCTCTGAGCAGCAGGATGAACTGCAGTGCCCAGAACCATGAGGGAGGTGGCTACCAGGGGCTGACTTCCTCCAAGCAGGCACTCACTGCTTCAGCCCTGAAAGATGGGGGTTGGGTGGCAAGGACTCCAATATGGAAGTGGGGGCTTGTTTTGACATGAAAGTTCTGGGCATGGATACGTGTTCACATCAGCTCACTTTCTGTTTTTCTACAGTTCTAGTACCTGAGAGGAGACCCAAGAATTTATTTGGTCCCCTGGAAAACGTATTTTACAAAGCCCGTGGCAGTGCCCTGACAATGACCACATGGTGGATGACCTGCATGAGGGGAACATAAGTCACTCACCGTTGTCACTAAAGCCACCTGCCAGTCTTGAAGCTGCCACTCACATCGGATGTGAGGGGACACAACAGCTATTAGCATGATCTCCATGGCTTCAGCCACCTTTGGGAACAAACATGCAAGTTAGCAAGAAGGGAAGCCCACAGGGTAAAGTCCCGCAGTCCTACCAAGCCTGCAGCCATGGCAGTCTCGTCATGTCAAAACAGCCCTGTGAAGCCAAGGTGCCTCCATAGTGGTCTGAATCCTGCACCTGATCTGGAAAGACATAAGCTGTTGAAAATCAGGTATCTAGGTACACTGTGTAACTAGGAAGACTGGAAAGACTCATCCTTTCCAGAAGGCATTCTTACCCACCTGTGCTAGTGGAAGACCTTCAACTACCTCTGGAAACCGAGCTGCTTGGTTAGGTACTTAGCTGTAAATTCAGGCATCTAGCACAAAGATGACCTCTTAAAGCTGTTTTTCATTAAAAACTTCATTGCTCCTTTGGCTATTTGCCCCAGCAGCTGGCTTCAGTTAAGAAATGAACCTATCATTTACACATAGCTAGAGGCATTTACATCTCAGCTGCAGTGATTCTCATGGATGTAGCCCCATTGCCTCTTTACCCCAGCCTGGCCTCAGGCTTTTACCTCTGGTCACAAATCAGACCTGTCTGGCAAGACCCTGCCATTTAGGAAGGTTTTTGGGTAGCCAAGGGTAGGAGGACAGCAGCCAGAGTGTACAGGGTTTCGGTACCCTCAGGATGGCATGAAAATTGCTGTTGGGAGGCTGAACCTAACCCTCAGGTGCTACTGAAGACGTGCCCCATCAGTGCTGCCAGGTGGGACAGTGCTCCGCAGCAGGGGCCGGGCCAGGCCAGGATGCTCTAAGCCACCCTGCTCAGCTTTGCCCTGAAATAGCAATGTCAGTTGTGGCCAAGATCTATTTTGAGCAAAGATGACAACAGCAGAAATCCTGCTTGAGTAGGTATTTGTGAAAAATATGGGCTGCAATATGGTGCTTATGGTTGTTACTGCACATAATAGGGAAAATGAGGAAAGTGTTTCTCGGGCCAGTGCAGATGGCTGCAGATACCTACCCCAGTGCTCCCCATGATCAGGAAAAGCAAAATGTGGAACCTCCCGAATCCAATGGTTTCCACAGCTTCTTCCACTGTAAACGTCTTCTGTTCTGAACATCAAAGGGAAAGGAAGATAGAGAAAAAAAAAATCCCATGTCAGCAGTCAAATTGTACCTTCCTTTTATGAAATGCCAACATTTTCCTTGTTACTGTGGGTCTGCACCGGAAAAAAGGCTAGAAACATCTACTAGTGGTGTGTCCATTGACCAGCCCCTGGGCACATTGGTGGCTGGACACATCAGGTGGTTGCTGAAACACCAGCCAGCAGGGAAGAGGGCATGGGCCTGAAGGACATCCTTGTACTGAATTACTCCAGATGCTTTGGAAACCCATGGCTCGGACTCTGTCTATTCCCTTCCCATGCCCAAACTGCCCTAAGGCTCACTCCCTCTGCACCCCTGGGGTATGGGCCCACTCCCAGCATGGGCAGTGTGAGCCAGGGGCTGCCCCAGTCCCAAAGCCCTACAAGAAACCACAGCTGGGAGCTCTGGGCTAAGTTTTGTCTCCTAAGCCTTTATTCCTGACTTTTCCACCCCATTTCAGGAGCTAACAAAGGCATCTCAAGATCAGGGCTGGGGTGGCTTTATAAACAGACCTGGCAGAAAGCTTTCAGTATATGTATGCTTTTAAGCTCTTATTCAGGTGAAGTCAGAGCTGTAAAAATTTTTCTGTCAGGCCATTTATCTCTCAACTCAGTCATCTCAAACCCATCAACATTACCTATGTAATGGAACAGACGAAAATTCTTTATTTTTTGCAAATTCAGGCCTTTTTAGTGGTTTTCTACATTTTTTCACTTAAAAATCATTTTGAATACATTTATTTATTTGCTAAAAAGAAAAGAATGCTTGAATTACCAACATAATAAAATGTTTACACAAAGCAGAGGCCTGAGAAAAGCCAAGCCAGCCAGCTCTTCCCACCACCGTATGTAGCAGCCACCAGCCTGGTAGCTGTGGTGGGAGAAGAGCAGTACAGAGCTGATACTCGTGTTTCCATGTACAGAGGTTTTAGGTAGCTAGAGTGCCAGGACTGGGGACCCTCTCTCTAGCCCAGCTAAATGAGGACCCAAATTCCTAGTCCTGTCAATACAAACCCACCTTTTGGGGGTTCTTGTCTCTCCATGCAGATTTCCTCCAGACCAATAGTATTTTCTGCCTCTTTTGGTGCAGTGGCCATCGCAGCTCCTGCTGGGATCCACCGTCACAGTCAGGCAAAGCTGGGATTTAACTGTGAAACCTCTGGGGAGTCACAAAGCCATCCAAGCAATAAGCCAGCAAAGCAGCTCCCCGTGCGGGAGTGGAAACATTAAGACATGGTCAAACATGACTTTGTTTCAAGCAGCTACTGGGACCTGTCCCATCCCATAGTGGGTCTGGTGAAAAATACACAGAAACTGCACAAGATAAGTTAGTTGAACTGACAGAGAATACTCATTGCATTGTGCTGGCCAAGGATTGCCTTAGGGAAGATGAGGCCTGCTAACCTTCCCCAGCCAGAGGAGAGTGAAATGCAGAGGCAGGCAAAAGATTCTGCATCTCCAAGAGACAAGACGTAACATGACTGGCAGCAGGTTGCCCCTGTTGAATGCAGAAATTGGTGCCCTTTGGGAGCTGGGGTTGAGAGGGCTGTAGAGGTGCTGCACTCTCTAATTGCTCATGGGAGCACTGAGGCAGAGCCAGCGAGTGGGAACAGCCAAGGAGCAGGGTGGCAAACCTGATACTCTGCCTCACACCCCACTGCACTAATCCCCATCCTCTCAGGTCAGGAAGAAACACAGCCTCTGGATTGCAACAGGGGAGAGCTGGCTTCCTCCACCCATGTTTCTGTTTTCCAGTGCTAAATCTCTTGGCTTGATCACAACCACTTTTCCTGGTCAGAAAAGCTCATCTTAATCCCAGGGCAGGGATTAAGCACACCACTTGCTTTAACCCACAAGCTTTCCTGCTGAGTGCTCAACACATCTTCAATTTGATGACACCCTCTCCTTTGATTACCTTCCTTCATGGTCACCGGACTTGGCCCAGGCAGCATTTACAGCCACCCAGCAGTGACTGGGGATGCTTCAGTAAGGTGAAGTTTGAGGGAATTAATGACTAAGAGTATCTAAAATACAAAATCCCAGCTGAGATAGAGGGCAGCACAAACACAGAAAGCACAGAGTTAGAGCACTCCCAAGCTGGAAACCTTAAAAGCATCATACTTAGGTACATTTACAAGGAGGTCATTAAGGGCTATTGGCAGATGAGTCAGTTGGGTCACGTACACTGACTTTGCTGTTACAGATCATTACAGTCCAGCATACTCAAGAGGATGCGTAGGATGCTTACAAATGTTTCTCAGCAGTGTAATCAGGGGTGGCAATAGCTGCCAGCAGCACACAGTGCCACCAGCTGATCACCAGCTAGGGACCATTTCCAAGTGGAACCGGCTCAAGAGCAACCAAACAGGATGCTTGGAAGAGCCTGGGAGAAGAGGTAAAGCTTTACTGAGTGTCTGAATGGCAAAGGGGTCTGCAAGCAGGTCTGGGGACCTGCTTTTCTCCTTTTCTGTCTCTTTATGATTAGGAACCTGCAACTGCATTCTGCCCCCAGCTGCAGCTCTTCCAGAAAAGGGGAAGAAGCCCCAATCCCTGGCATTGCTGTACAGAGCCCCTGATGAGGCTCAGGTGCTCAAGCAGAAGAGTGCAGTGACACCTCTGACACCCCACAGTAACCAAGACACCCTCAGAGGCATCAAGATAGTGGATTTCACCTATGTGAGACACATACTGCTCTCAAATAGCAGTGGGTGAGCAGGTGGGGTACATTTTCTAGCATCTCAGCTAACACCAGAAATCTGTGGAGGCACCTGTATCCCTCTCTGCCCTCAAGTATTGGGGCAGCTGGAGCAAAATTTACTCATCCATAAGTAGACAAGAAGCCACTGTTCAGGTAAGTCCCTAGCACTGTACACTCTGATAGAGCATTTATGTTGAAAGCACAGAGATTCAGATGCAACACTTTAGTAAGCCTCCTAACTGCTCCTACCGATCACACAGTTTGATCATCCCAAACCTTTGCAGCCCTGTTTGCCTTGAGGGAATAGCTAATATCTATTACACCTCTTTGGGGAGTCGCTATTTGTAAATCCCACTGAAAATACTAAATACCAATTACATGAGCCAAAATACCATCAGTGAGAAAGCTGCTGCTGGCAGGGAAAATAGTGATTCTGCATCCAAAGGGAGCAATCAGGAGTGCAGTGAAACTGCTGCCGGGACCTGACAGAAGGATGCTGTGATCCCACACCGGAGGTCTGCAAGGCCACAAAGGGCACATGGATGTGATCACAAATGCTGTGATTGAGACCAGCTCTCAGTAAAGCCAGTGAGCTTTCTGCATATGACATACAAATGATCAGATACCCCCACTATTAACCCAAGGCTTGATTAAATACTTTTTCTCTTTCTGCTTGCAGCTTTCTTACCTCTGCAGTGTCTCAGGCACAAAGGAGCAGACCTTAGTTTTCTGGCTGTTTTCCTTCCCTTCTATTTTCTTGTTAGAGTGCTGGTGGTGCTGTGGTTTTGGGATGCAGCTCCCAGGAGTCAGGTTTCCTCCTTGCTGGGCACAAGCAAGTCCCTCTTCACCTGCCTCCACCCTGTAGGTGGGGTTTCCCAGTGCTGACCTGTGCTGGTCCCTTGGCATCTACAGGTCCTCCACAGGAGCTGCCCACCACAGGTGATGGTGCTTGCCCATCCCTTCTCCTGGGGATGACCTCAGGGAGATGGAAGGAGGGCACTGGGGAGACATCCCTATTGCAACACCAGCTGGCAAGTTTTGGGGGCAGGTCCTGAAGCATCCATGTAAAGTGCCTTTGCCATCCCCTTCAAAGTCATGACCAGCCACCAGCCCCTCTTAGGCCAGATAAAGTCAACTGAGGTGCCAGTACCATGAAAAAAATTAGACCTATTTATCTGCTTCATCCAAAATTTCTTGACCGAGTACCAAACTGTAGGGAGCATCCATGGCTTAAACTGCCACAGTGATCCTGACCTTACCGTGCAGAAAATCTCAGTGCTCCAGGTTGTGTTGGCCCATGAATCTGAGCTATGATAGGTATTTTGCTACAGACTAGGAGCATCTATGCCAACCTTTACTACACAAGAGTGTCGGTATTGCTGAAAGCTAGCAAAGACACTGGGATGTTTTTTCTCCCTCCTTCATAAGGGTTCCCAAATCCTTTTGTTTTGAAATACCTACATTGAGCTGGCAGCAATGCTGCAATAGTTTTATCAAAGCGTGCAGTTCCCATGCCAAATATCATGCTTCCAAGCATCTGGAAGACATTTTCTACCAGCCAACATATGCTATTTAACAGCCTTATTTTATATTTTCTTCTTAATAATATCTAATATCCAGCTACAACCATTATTGGCATCTGCTGAACTAAGATACATGATCCAGGCTGCCAGATACATACCGTTATGTTTTCATTGCAAAAGCTCAGACAGCGTGCATGCAATCACAGGAGGGTGCAGATGTTTCAGCATTCCAGCTTCCCAGCACAGAACCATAGAATCATAGAATGGCTAGGGTTGGGAAGGACCTTAAGATCATCTTGTTCCAGCCCCACTGCCATGGGCAGGGACACCTCATACTAGACCATATTGCCCAAGGCATTATGATTATGACCAAATATAATATTATAACCATAATATAATAAATATATTAATGACCAAAATACCATTGACATTCTCAGCTGGAGAGATGTGCTCTCAGGCCCAGGTGTCTGGGGCTGAACAAAGAAATACTCTATTACATTTTTTTAACCACCTCATGATATTTTAGTTACCTGTTAGGAAAATGCAAAGACTGATCAGAGTACAACATGAAAGGAAATATCTGCCTGTGTGAAAGCTCCAGGAGAAACAAAAAAATGAGGCTGAGAAGAATGGTCTCCATGCTGGCCGTAGACAGGATGAAGAGCTTTCATATGAGTAAACACTGAGGAAAGCACTATTTGCAGCAGCAGCTAGAGGCTGGGATCCAAGAAACAGTTGACTCCTGAAGTTTATGTGAGCTCAGTCCAAAAGCCAGTTCATCATCAACAGTCCAGAGGACCTACGAGACTGGACAGGAATCTGATACCTGGCTTTCCTGATCCTTCACATCACTAAAGTTGTCCTGGCAGGAGCGCTTGGCCACACACGGCAATGGCTCTCATGAGAAGGAATAAAAACTCCAGGAGAGAATGAGTGTGAATGACTGACACCAGTTTGATTGACTTTGTTACCCCTTTCCCTTCCTACATGGTCATTCACTGAGGCTTTTTATATAATTTCCTATAAAATAATATAACTCATGTCACCAGCTTTCAAAACCAAAACACATTCCTAGCAATGGGATGAGCTTTGGATCCAGAAGCACCCATTCCTTCCTAGGTACTGATCCCAAGTCCACACTAGAGGAGCACACTGAAGAGTTCCCAGTCAGGTAATTACAAGTCACACCTCCTCTAGCAATGGGTAAAGTTCAGATAAAGACATGTGGGTGTTGTACCAAGGTCTACTAGTCTGTAACAGTGGCCTCTGCTGGATCTGACCACATCTGGTGGCCACATTCACAGAACCAGCTAGCAAACATGGTTCCATTCAGTTTAGTAGGTGTGCAGGGGAATGGGTTGCCAATGTTCTACTCCAAAATTCCCTCTGTCTTCTGCAGCAAAACCTTTTAAAAACAAGTTGCTCTTTGGAACATTTGTGGGGTTTTAAAGAAGCCTTAAAAACAACCCAGATGAAAGCCAGGGCTCTCCTCAAAGTGTGTAAGAACAACCTGGCCTCCCAGCAGTATTTCATCTGAATGCTCCCTGATGATAAGTGGACTTGGTCCTCTTGTGGAGTGGGGAAGTGCCATCTTCATATCATGAATGCTCAAGTGAGCCACAGGCTCTGCTGCATAACTCAGTTGCACACAGAAAGGGAGAACAGAATACAGAATTAAGCCGAATGTTTGAATCACTGCTCGGTGCAGTAAACAACAGAGCATCTTGTCACCTGCACTATTCACAGGATAACTTTGTTTTTCCTGCTTAAAATGTACACCTCAGACAAAAAGCAAAAGACCAAGAAGCTCTAAAAGGAACAGATATTCTGTTTCAGGTAAACACCTTCTCAGTTTCATTGTAATCACATGGCTGGGTGCAATGAAGATAAAATATGTGTTTGCGCAGAAAATCCGTCCACTGTTTCATAAAGCAAACTGTTTTCTCTGTGTTTAGTAATGCATCAAACTAGTTTGACCTTTCTTGCTTCATGACAGCTTTTCTTCTGAATAGGAATAAACAGAACAGGCTGGAAGAAAGAAACAAAGCTGATGTGCATGCACTGAGCCACTGTAAAACCAACTGCATTCACGTTCATGTGGTTTTTGTTACTGTAGGTTATCCATGCCCCAAGAACCGGTGACATGAGGCCATGCATGGGTCATAGGTACACTCCTGTGCCCACTTCTCAGCTCCACTGCTGTTTCAAACCCAAGCTGTTGTTAGAAAGGAAAAAGGCTCATGGGTCTGTTGGTAACCAGTGCCCGATACCAGTATGGCTTCTTGAGACCACAAAAGTAGAACAACTGCCTTGCCTGGGGCAATGTAACAGGAAGGTAGCTCTCAAGCCTGACTTCTGCAGACAAGCACGACCCTTGATGACTGCTGCACTGCGTGTCCTGCTGGCAACACCTCCAGGTGGGTTTCTTTGGCGGAGATGGATATCAGGGCTGTGAGGTTTGAAAATAAATCTTGTCTGGTCACACCCCATGGAAGGGAGCACTGTCACCTCCCAAATCCATTTGCTGTGTTGGAATTTTATATCTTCTGTGGTTAATAAAAAATAGTGTTATATTGGAACAGGTTGCTCAGAGAAGCTGTGGCTGCCCCATCCCTGGCAGCATTCAAGGCCAGGTTGGGTGGGGCTGTGAGCAACCTGGTCTAGTGGAAGGTGTCCCTTGCTATGGCAGGGGGGTGGAGTCAGATGATTTTAAAGTCCCTTCCAACCCAAACCATTGTATGATTCCATGATTAACACTATTCAGTTTTAAAGATTAGTAATTCATGAATATTTAGGAAGTTCACAGTACATCAACACTTCAAATTATTCTCAACTGTTTTGATTCCTCTCTTCTTTCTGTTCATTAGGTATTAGCATTTCTATGGTCTGCTTTAACATTCCCAACTTGAAAAATAGAGCACATGGGGAGCTATCTTAAGTCTCCAGTGAGAAACAAGTCAATAGAGATAAATAAATCGGCTGCCAATGTGGAAACTGGCACTCTCTTTTGTTTACACAGCTCAAAACTAACACTTTTGTTAAGTGATAACGTGTGCAAACTTCTATAATCCAGTGCTGTCAAGCCCCGGAGCAAATCACATAAAAAGAGGGTTGTTGTACTAAAGCATAGAGAAAATTGCAAGCCTGCAATATGATCTGTCTTCGAGCTGGTTTGCACTGTGTGCTAAATGAAAGGCTGCAATCTTATAAGGGACTTAATTGTGTCATATGATCAACCACAGCTTGAAGCAACAGCCAAAACATATTTTCCTCTGAAAGAAATATGCTACAAAGGCAAGGCAGCAAATGGAGCAAAACACACGCAAGTTGATTATTAATAACCAATTTAATTCAAAAGCTGCATCTCCTTTTTCCAACCAAGCAGTAGGCAGCTGATCTGATCAAATGCTGAGGACCAGGTACTTGGCAAAGACAGCAGTGGAGATACTTAGCCAAGGGCTCAGCCATCCTGGCTGAGGTAGTTCACCTCTCAGCTGCTACAGCAGTATATGTAAATGTAGCTAGGACATTTTCATCTACAGCTGGTCTTCTTTCAAGGGGCACATACCATTCTGTTTCATCCCATATACTGTATCCCGTGGGTGAGCTACCACAAGAAAATAGAGCCTGGTCTGAGAAGCAAAGCAGCAATGCACTGGATTCACTCTTCTGTGGTGCCACTGATGATGTACTTGAAGGAGAATGGAGAAAATTTGTACCCGGCTCCCACGTAGAACTTGTTCTGGAACTCCACCCTGGGGAAGAGCAGAGCAGGATGTCAGTGTGGTCCATAGGTAATGACCTACCTTCAGCTGAGAGGCTGCAATGTAATACCCATGGGAAAAGGGAGATCACGAGAGACAGTGATCTCCGAGCCAGGAACATAGGCTCCTCCGGAGCCAGCAATGGGACTTAGGTAGCCCAGGGAGCAACCCAGCATGCATCAACTTTGACTCTTCATCACTCAGCCTGAAAATGTTCTTTGTGAGGCCAGTCTTCTGGACCTTGCCTGCCCTCTGAACTGCTTTTAGCAGCTCTGAGAACTGGAATCACTGCCTGCTGGTTGTACACACTGGTGGGAGACAGACATCTCCCCCTGCACAGTGACAAACAACTGCAACACAATTCACAGTGTTTGTGGTTTGTGATGGGATGTTATGTGGTGAAAAAGGCCATAGCTTGGGTGTTCAGGCATGATGACAAGTTATGGTGCTGATGAAGAGTGACTTGTTACATTGGTCTTGCTTTACATACTAGTCTGATGGTGTGCCACACTGCTGTCC